CTTATCCGAAGTGCGGTCGGTCGCTTGATTCCCCCCTTCCCCCTCCCCTTCCCCGTACACCCTCCTTTGGTATGCAACAAACGGGTCCTGGGGGAACCGGGTCCTGGAGCTCCAGGACCTCCCCTAGGGCTAGCTCTTCGTCCTGGGCCGCGTCAAGACAATCGCAAGGCCCGTGGACGGCCCCGGGACGCCGACTGCGGCGAAAAACCTCGGGACGCGTTTCAACCCGGACCAGGCTGCTTCGTGGCGACCCCCTTTTCCCCCCCCCCTCCCCGCCCGCCCCCCCCCATCTGACGACTTCAACGGGGGGGGGCGGCGCAGGCGAGAGCCACCGCGGTGGATCGCGACATGGCCCCGAGCACCCGGATCTGGCCCAGCACCAGCGGGGTGGCAGCCGCCCACACGAGGACGGCCCGCCCGAGCATGCCGCCGTAACGCCTCGGCCATCGTCGTCGTCACTACCGTCGTCCGCCGTCGTCTGCCAGTCGACGCGGTCGTCCCGGCCCGATCGTGCCGGCGCTGTCGCAGACCAAGATCGCCTGCGACCGACGTGGTCGTCGTCGTCTTCGACGCCCTCGTCATTAATTAGTAACGATGAAGAAGCGGCATGGACATCAGGATGACGGGGCCGAACGGTCTTAGACTGTCCCTTGGTGCGTGGCTGAGGAGGGGGTCCATGGTCCAGATTATTGTTGTTTGTTTGTTCTTGCCGTCGTCCTCGCCCGCGACCCGCGACTCCCCCGCGACCCACCCCGCGACCTGCCCGCGACCCATCCTCCACCGACCTGCGACCCACCCGGCACCCGCCCCCTCGCTCTTATTCGCAACTGCGGGGTGCTGCGCAAACTGTCGCACATCAAGGCGGCATTCTTGGATCGGCGTTGGGCCCCCCCCGCATCGAATCAGGCGGCGCCCCTGGCGCGGTCCGCGCCAGAAGGAAGTTCCAGAGCCGACCTAACAAGTCTGCTCGGGCCTCCGACAGCGCACGCTTGCGTCTTTCATTATTCTTCGAGCTGCCGTCGTTCAACATCGCCCCCGACCGTCGTCGTCCTCGTCGTGGTCGTCGTCGTCGTCGTCGTCGTCGTCGTCGTCGTGGTCGTCGTCGTCATCGTGGTCGTCGTCGTCGTCCGTCGTCGTCGACGTCGTCGCCATCATCGTCGTCGTCATCCCCGTGCCCTCGGCGTCGTCGTCGACGTCGACGCGCGTCGTCGTTGCGCATCGTCGTCCGAGACTTGCCGCGACCGCCGCCGCTCGCGGTTCCAGCGCAGATCCGCAAGCTTTGGGAACTTACAGCCAGTGGCGTGTGCTCGACCCGCGAGGTGGACGAGGGGGACTGAATCTGTCATTGCACGTTCTGCGCTACGTCATCCAGTCCTGACGGACTGGGCTCGGCGCTGGCAGTCACCAGGCCTCCCGGATGCGGTCCGAACCAATGGGGTCGGAGGATCGCGCCGCATCGCCGATGCATCGGCGACGTCGGCGATGCATCGGCGCCGTCGGCGTGGAGAAATTCGAGCTCCACGTCGAGCCGCATCGCCGATGCATCGGCGATGCGGCGCGATCCGCCGACCCCCTTCTACTCCGACCTCATTTGGGAGGTCCATAGTCATCCAGCCCTGACTCTCTCGGTGATTGGGTTTTGGCATGCGATCTGGGGCCGGCGAAACCAGCACCGCGGCTACGGCTGAGCGGAGACCGCCAAGCGGGCGCGGTCAGGCGTGCAACAGCACCGCGTGCGGCAGCACGTAGCCCAGCTGCCCCGATGCGCAACACGCAGCACGCAGCGCGTTGACACGGAGCCCAACACGTGGACTGAAAATGTAGGCCTTCCGCGATACGTGCGCCACACGCAGCGCGTTGACACGGACGTCGTGAACACGGTACGCACTGCGTTGCAAAGCGGGCGCGTCGGGGCAGCCAAAGCACGGAGACACCGAAGCCGAGCGCCACGGACGGCCTTTGCCGATCCTTCTACAGGAAACGAAGGCCACTCCTCCTGCGGCAGGGCGGCAGAGAGGGCACCGACCGAGCTGCAGCACGTCGGGGGCAGGCGGCGCGCCACTCATGGCGGCGCCTGCGGCACTCGCGGCACCTGCAGAGCCCATCGCGCGCGCGCGAGGGGGGGGGGCAGAAGCCTGGTCGGACGGGAGGGACAGACAGACGACATGCACCAGCGTATGGCACGGCGGCTTGGCAAAACGATGCGGACGCGCCCAAAAAGCCCGCAGAAGAGGCGCAAGAACATGCCAAAATCATTGCATTTCCCCTGAGGGGAACAAGGAGGAGAGTACGGCCACAAGAACTCCCACAACGCGGCTGCCACCACAGCGCGAAACAATCCAAAAGGCAGCGTGAAACACAGAAGCAAACTAAGGAATGCCCAATGGTCGCCACACCGGCGCACGCCGCAGCGCGCGCATCGACATTGTTGGGCTGAACCTAAGCCGCGGGGGGGAGAGCAGACAAGAAGGCACAAAAGTGCAGAAAACACAGATGGTGGAATACAACAGAAGCCTGAATCCCGGACCAAGTCCGTAAATGACATGCAAAACTACCCTGGCGACGTACCCAACCCCTGCGCAACACGGGGCATGAGTAGCTCGGGAGACGTTACACGGAGGTGATGACGTGACATGGGCTCATATACTTCTGCAAGCGGCATTCGTGAGGCTCGCAGCCCCACAGGGATTGCGATCTCCCGCTCAGATCTGCCCGGCGCCTCGCTCCGCAGGACCCACCAGCAGCCCTCGAAAGTGGCGACAATTTCGCAGATCGCAGCCCCCCAGGGACGGCGAGGTCCCGCTCGGGTCCGCGCGGTGCCTCATTCCGCAGGAACCACCAGCAGCCCTCGAAAATGGCGACATTTCGCATATCGCAGCCCCCCCCCCCAAGGACGGCGAGGTCCCGCTTAGGCGCGGTGCCTCACTCCGCAGGACCCACCAGCAGCCCTCGAAAGTGGCGACGGTTTCGCAGATCGCAGCCCCCCAGGGACGGCGAGGTCCCGCTCAGGTCCGCGCGGTGCCTCACTCCGCAGGACCCACCAGCAGCCCTCAAAAGTGGCGACGGTTTCGCAGATCGCAGCCCCCCAGGGACGGCGAGCCTCGCGCCGCGCCCTCGGTCCCCATGCCTCCGCGCCCGGCCCGATCTCCTCGCACACGAGGGGCTCTGGCCTGAGGTGGAGACGGAGCCCTGTGGCCGCCGAAATATTCTGTCTTTCTTGGCGGCTCTCTTGATATCCTTGTTCTCCTTCCATGAACGTCCGCTTCGTCTAGCTGCGAATGCCTGGAGAGTTGCATCTATCTGATCCTCATACAGGTCTAGGTCCTCATGCTTCTCCAGTAGCACTACTGCGTCACCCGTGTCGGGGTCATCGTCTGGCTCGGAGTCGCGGCCGCCAGACTCGCCGCCGCCCGCGAACCGACCGGCAGGGAAGGAGGGAGAGGAAGAGAACGTCTGATCAGCACGCTCGCCTTCCAGCGTTGACTTTTCGCCCACTGTCAGGGCCGCAAGCATAGCAGCTGCTCCCGATCGGCCCGGCAATAGCTGTTCAGAACCTGCTGCGCCCATTTACCGCAACGTCCACGCCGCGCTCTCATAGTCGAGCTGGCCTGGCGCGAGCGTTCGGAGATCCTGATGGCCCTGAGCATTGAGACCTGGCCATGCCTGCGGATCTGAGTAGTCACCCTATCCCGTCGCTTCGCTGGACCATGTGCTCCACTGATTGGCAGCTCCGCAGCCGCCCCAGAGACACCACTGCCCGCGGGTGCCCTTCTCGCCTTCGGCGTTCTCGGCACCCCGGCAGCCGTCGTCCCAGCCGCTATCCTGCCAGCGCCAGCAACTCGCGTGCCACTTCTCCTGGGCCCGATCTCTGGCATGGGATGCTGCTGCCTTGGACTGATCAATGCTGGATTGCCAAGGGGCGGGACCTGCCTGGACTGCCGCCTGACCTGCTGCCTCGCCGGCGTTTGCAATACCCCTGACAACGCCGGCGATCACTCCCGTAGATGCTCTGGCGTCATACCTGCTGCCGGGGAGGCTGAGGCGCTCGCTGGAGGGCCTGCCCCGCTCGGGTTGGTCTCTGCGTCTTCACCCATGCCGTGGAAGCCACGCCACTCGGGTTCCGGACGAGCCCGCGCTGGCGCGTCGAGGAAACGCAAGACGCCCGGCGCCCCACTCGGCTCTCCGCTGGCCATCCAGCGGGGAACCCCGCTCCGCTACCAGCTGCGGCAGCCACTTCGATGGTTTTCTCCCCCGATGGTTTTCAAACTTCAGCCCCGATGGTTTCGCCAGCTACTGGCTCTCTCCTCCCCGATGGTTTTTCAAACTTCAGCCACAGTGGCAACAAAGCGGTAAACCACATGGCTGAGTCTACAAATCGAACCCCGGAGCACGGTTACAGGAGGAAACGGGAAGGGCAGGGGAAGGGGGGAGGGGAGGGGAGGGGAGGAGAGAAGGGGAGGAGAGAAGGGCAGGGGAGGAGAGGAGGAGGGAGGGGAGGAGAGAAGGGCAAGGGGAGACCAGGGGGGAAAGGAGACCAGGGAGACAAGGGTAAGGGACTGACCAGGGGGGAGGGGAGGAGAGAAGGGCAAGAGGAGAAGCGCACTCCCGACCCCGCCAGAGGCGGACAAAAGACCCCAAGCAAAGCCTCGGACCCATCCGCAAAAAAACAAAAGGGGGCGTCGTCGCCGTCGCCGTCGCCGTCGCCGTCGCAACCGTCGTCGTCGTCGCCGTCGCCGTCGTCGTCGTCGTCGTCGTCGTCGTCGTCGTCGTCGTCGTCGTCGTCGTCGCCGTCGCCGTCGTCGTCGTCGTCGTCGTCGTCGTCGTCGTCGTCGTCGTCGTCGTCGTCGTCGTCGTCGTCGTCGCCGCGCGCCGTGCCGCGGCCATGGCAGGCCGGCGCAGAGCCTTCCACGAGGGCAAACCTGGCGACGGCCAGCCAAGAGCGACCACGGAACGCGCAGAGGGAGGGGGGGGGAGGAGGGGGCGCAGAGTGGCGCGGCGGGCCGAAGCGCCGCAGGCAAAATGCGCTGGCCCAGCGGACCAGAGGCGTGCTAAGATCTCATGTAACTGCTCGGCAATAGTCGGGGATGGACAGACCCCCCTTTAGTAAAACGTGGTTTAGTGAAAACGACAGGAGGCCCAAACCTGGCGGGCGCAAGCCTGGAAAATAACGGCCACGGCGCCTTCTCGAGAACCGAAAACGGACAATTCACTAATCGACGTGTCACTGTTGGGGGTTCTGTCCACCCCCGAAATAGTTCCTTTACTTCGCGCGCGCGGGGCGGCCCCTGGGGGCCCCCGGGCGAAAGGTGCCCCAGCAGGTCCCGGGAGACTCGGATCAGAGATGGCCTTCCTCCCATGGGCGCCGCCCTCGACGCCGCCCAGAGAGAGCCCCTCGAGACGGTACAAGAGAGCTCCGAGATGCCACGCGATCGCCCCCAGACGCCCCAGATGGCCCCAGACGGCCCAAGAGGCCTCCAATAGCATTTTCAAGAGGGCTCCAAGAGGCAAAATCCATATTTTGTTTTCCCGAGGTATTGGAAAATGTGTGGTGTTTCTACCTGTTCGGCTCCCCGACACCTTAAGACGGCCCGAGAGGCCCCCCAAGACGGCCCCAAGAGGGCCCCAAGAGGCCCCCAAGAGGGCCCCAAGACGGCCCAGCTGCAGCGCATAGCGCGAAGGCACAAGAACTGCACTGGCGGGGCGCGCGTTGAAACCTGGCGCCAAATCTGCACTGGCCGCCTCCTGCGCGGAGACCGGGCCGCCGCTGCCGCCGCGGTGCACAGCGTGTTTTTTTGTCTGTTTTTCCTTCGCGTGCCTCATCTGGGCGCTGCTGGGTTCGCTGGGGCGCGCGTCCTGCCAGGCCCATCGACACAGATACAGAACTGTCGACGACGCGGGCAACCATGATGGGCCTGTTTTCCACCACCACCACCATAAGTTGGAGTGGGGAAGGAGATGGAGGAGGAGGAGGAGGAGGAAGAAGAGGGTGAGGAGGACCCCCTCCCCCCACAACTTATGGTGGTGGTGGTGGAAAACAAGCCCATCAAACCATGCTGAGATGAGGCTCGAGGACTCCGCAAACTCATCTGCTGGAGACAGAGCACGAGGAGAGGTCTCGCGGCCAGCCGCGGCGGGACGGGCCTCCTGCGTCCCGCGGCAGACGGCGCGGACTCGCGCGCAGGGCTGGCCGACCCGCTCCACGCGGCAATAGCCGCCCCCTCCTCCTCCTCCTCCTCCTCCCCTCCTCCTCCTCCTCCTCCTCCTCCTCCTCCTCCTCCTCCTCCTCCTCCTCCTCCTCCTCCTCCTCCTCACACCTGGATTTAGCATGGGCCCAGCTGGCAGAAGAAAATAGCGGTGCAATTTCGGGTTGTGGGCGTCGTCGCCCGGGCACTCGTTCGCCATCGCCACGCAGGATCCAGGCCGCTGCGTCAGGAAGGCCGCGCCCACCTGGAGCTTCCCGTTCGGCGGGAAGTCGCTCAGGATGGCGCCGGACAGGCCGCCGAGCCCCAGCCCCTGCAGCTGGGCGGGAAGGAAAATCACGACATCCTGCCAGATAACAACTGGGGCCATCAACGATCGCGTTGGCCCCGATCTCGTTCCAGCCCCGCCACTCCCACGCAGCGTCGCCAAGCTGGCGCCGTAGCGCTTCCAGCATCCGCGATTCTGAAGGTACCTGGGCGCGACAGGATTGTCTACCCAGCAGGCGACCCAATCCGCGGGATTGGCAACGGCAAACAGCAGGCCCGCATCGACAGTGTTCGCCTGTCCCCACTCGCGCACGGCGTCCTAGCCAGAGTAGTCGATCACGCCTGGCGCAGGGCAGTTGCAGACGTCGGATTTGTCCACGACGTCACCCACCAGTCGCCGGTGACCTTGTTCTCCCCGTCGAAGTGGCAGCTGCGACAGCTGTTGGAGCTGGCGCCGACGGCGCTGCCATCGATGGTCACGGCACCGTCGCCCGAGACGCACGCACCCGGGCAATTCCAGCGCGAGCCCTCCCAGAAGCAGCGGCCGTAAACGGGCCCTGTCTGCCCAGCCTGGACCGCGTCGCACGCGTTGGCGTCGTGCGGGTAGTAGGTGTTCAAGACGACGTCGCCCCACTTGTCGTCGTCCACGGCGTAGGCCACGTGAGGCCTGCCCATGTCCCCAGCCATGTGCAGCTGGCTCGACGGTTAGATGTCGTTGCGCCAAAGGGTGGCTGGCTTCGGCCCGCCGCCCACGATGAAGTCCGGGGTGCGAACCACGACGCCTCTGTCGGCGTTGCCCAGGTTGTCGTTGAGCCGGCCCGTGACGTCTATCTGCATGCTCCAGCCCGCCCGCAACCCGCCCGGCAGGGTGCTGTTCGGCAAGGCGCAGGGCACACCGCGCACCCCTCCCGCCTCGGCCGATCCGGCGGCCACCAGTGAGCCCGCGAGCAGCGCGCGCATCGCCGCCATCGGACGGCGCGCGGGACCTCTCGAGGGCCCTAGGACTGGCGCAGGGGCCCAGAGGAAGTGCTGACCTCGAGCGAATTTGGCTTGAGCCAGCGGGCTTGAGCCAAGTCACGGACACGCCAAACACGTGCAGGGGGCAGGGAGAGGAAAGGGAGGGGGCAGGGGGAGGAGGGGGAAAGGGAGAGTAGTGGATGTCGAATCAATTACATGTCCACTGCCCCTCTCGCATTCGCTCGGACGTCCTCCATTCCCCGTGCGTTTCGCTGCTTCGTGCATGTATTTTTTTCGCGCGATGACCCACGAGGCTCCTCGATGGCCCTCGCCGAAGAAAAAATGCACACGTCCGAGCGATGCCAAGCCCTGGCTAGGCCCGTCCGGGGCCGAGGAGCTCTGCAGAAGAAAGACGCCATCATGGCTTGGCCAGGGAGACGTGCCCGCCGCTCCTGGGCCAAGGATGGGTCTGCCCAGGGGCAGCGGATGCAGGCGCATCTCGTCGGGGTGTCGCACGATGCCGTGAGGGGCCACAGTGCGTGAGCACGCCATGAGATCAAGGGTGCGCCGAGTCGTCGGGCGGCCACGAGTGAGCGCTCGCTTCTGAACGCCGCGCAAGGTGAACAAGAAGACCTCTTCCGTTATTGGAGAAATCAGAAAAATCAAAAACCTAATATCTGGGAGGTCCGAGAGGATTTCTTGGCTCGGCGCTGGACCCTCCTCTCCAGCGCGCGGAGCGCGCCAGGGGCCCCAACTCTAATCCATGAAATCCGCGCGGACCTCAGAGAACTCATGCGTGTAAGTATGCAGCTGTTAGTTCTTCCACTTACCGAGGCCGCCCGCACATCGTTTCGAGATCCTTCGATCCGCGATCTCGGCGGCGCGCACAGGCGGGGGGGCAACGAGAGTGGGGCGGCCCTTCAAAGGAGGCGTGGAAGCTTCCAAGAAGGCAGGTGGTCGTAGAAACCCTCCCAGCTGCTGAGAAGCTCTCTTAGAAGCAGTCGGGCGCTTCTAAGGTCCCCCGAGTGGCCCCTCCTTCTATGGAGGCCTCCCTAATGGGGTCCGAGAAATGGGCGCTGATCCGACGATCGCGACGCAGTGCTAATGCACTAGCGACAAGGCGCGATCCTTCGACACCCCACTTTTTCCGGCCCCATTAGGAGACCTGGATTATGAGAACCCTCCCGCCTTCTAACAACAGGAACTTCGAATCCGCAAATCGGATTGAATCGGAATGCACAACAGATCGGGCTGGGTCGGTACGGAATCGAGATCGAATCGGATCGGCTGCGCCAGGATGCACAACAACGCCATGCAAGCATCGGGCCGCATCGGGTCGCCAGAAAAACGAAATCCAAGCGGATCGAATTGGCTGAAATCGGATCGATCGGATATAGAAAAAGGGCCCCAGTTCTTCCGACCAAAGCCGCGGAAAGAACCGTCCCCGCACCCCTGGGGTCCATCTGGTGCAGTTGTTCGCCGCGGATCCGCTTCTGGTGGTCCCGGTGCCCGAGACGCGGCCCCCGGAGGCCCCGCCAAGGGCACCGCAAAAAAAAACGTCCCGAACCCAACACCTCGAAGCTCGCGCCCCCGCTTCCTGCTGGCCACCCCCATCGCGCCACTCCCAGACGAGGGTTCCCACTACTCGCAAAATAACGACTCGCAAATGGCCCGGATCCACCGCGGTGGAATGACGATCCATCACATAGAGGAGGACATGGACTTGTTCTGGCGTTTGCGAGTAGGCACTTTGCGAGTAGTGGAAGGCGCTCGGTGAACCCCCATCGTGCCACCCCATCGCGCCCCCCCCGCTGTGAGCGCCGCCAGCGACCCTCGAACCTCACAAACCGAGGCGGCGCGCTGCAGCGTCTCCCGCGGCCTCTCCTCGCGCGGTTTGGGGACGGCGCGTCGCGACGACCGCCGACCGCGGCAAGCGCGACGACGACGACGAGGACGACGAAGACGGCCGACGACGACAAAGACGACGCGGGAAGCTCAGCTGGCCTGCCTCTGCAGGCGTGTTCAACCACCCCCCCATCCGTACTGCCGCAGGTTAGGTCACTATCGCAGCGCACTGCTTATGAGGAGAGGGTCATATCCTGCGTGGCCCGCAGGTGTATTGGAGTCTTCGCAAGGCTGGGTTCCAACAGGTAAGATGGAGCTAACTGGACGCGGCCCCTATCAGCTAGCTTGCATAATAGGACGATGTATTAATGATAGAAACGATAGCCGCGAACCAGACTGGAAACCGAGAATCGGTCCTCGAACCGAACCGGCCGAACCAGACCGGCCCTCGAACCGAACCGGCAGAAGCGGACCGAACCGGCCAAACCGAACCGGCCAAACAGAACTGGCACCGCCGAACCGAATCAGCCGAACCGAACTGGTCCCGCCGGCGAGCCCTGCAAGAGAGATCGACAAGCCGACTCCCGCCTCGGCAAGAAGGCCCCCAGCATCCCCCAGAACCTCCCAGCACCCCCAAGGACCCCCAGCACCCCCCAGAACCACCCAGGATCCCCCCAGCACCCCCCAGGATCCCCCAGGACCCCCCAGAGGCCCCCAGAGGACCCCAGAGCCCCCAGAGGCCCCTAGAGCCCCCGGGGCCCCCAGAGCCCCCAGAGCCCTCAGAGGCCCCAGAGCACCCAGAGCCGCCACCGCCCCAAGGACCAGAGCCCCCAAAGCCCCCAGAGCCCCCAGAGCCCCCAAAGGCTCCAGAGCCCCCAGAGCCCCCAGCCCCCAGGACCCCCAGGACCCCCAGGACCCCCCAGAGGCCCCCACAGGCCCCCAGGACCTCCCAAAGATCCCCGAGCTCCCAAAGCCCCCAGAGCCCCCTGAGCCCTTAGTGCCCTTAGACCCCCCAGAGCCCCCAGAGCCCCCAGAAGCCCCCAGAGGCCCCCAGAGCTCCCAGAGCCCCCAGAGCCCCCAGGACCCGTCAGATGCCCCCACTGACCCCCACAGGCCCCCAGGACCCCCCAGAGATCCCCGAGCCTCCAGAGGCCCCCCGAAGCCCCCAGCCCCAGAGCCCCAGAGCCCCCAGAGCCCCCAGAGCCCCCAGAGCCCCAGAGCCCCCAGAGCCCCCAGAAGCTCCAGAGGCTCCAGAAGCTCCAGAGACCCCAGAGCCCCCATGACCCTCAGGACCCCCTAGAGGCCCCCACGGGCCCTGTGATTTCTGGAGATTTCTGGAGGAGAACTCTAGAGAAGTGGGAGAGAAGTAGGAAAAGACAAGTAACTAACACGCGTGCGTGCAGCGCCGGCGCTTGGGCTCGAGCTGTGAAAGGTGCGCTCCTCCTCCCCACAGCAGCAGCAGCGGGGCGGCGGGAGCGATAGCGGTTTCGGCATAGCGACGGAGTTCGAGCTGGGACGAACCTCGACCACGAGACGATCGACGAGGGTGAGCCCCAGCGAGAACGAGGTTGGTAGCGGAGCTCGTGGTTGGCCCCACGACTCCTACGGCCATGGCTGACTACAACAGCGCTGTGGACCAGAAGATACCGGTGCTGAAGGGGGAGACGTTGAAGGATTTCACTCGCTACAAGCGAGCGGTTCAGGCGGCGGAGCTGAGCTGCGAGAGTAAGGAGCAGAAGCAGGCGCTCGCCCCAAAGCTGTGCCGCAACCTGCTGGGCGCGGACAACTCGATCAGTGTGCTGATCGAGCAGGCGAATCCGAAGGACTACACGACGGAAGAGGGCGCCCAGACGTTCCTGCGATGTCTCGAGGAGCAGCGCTTCGCCAAGAGCAGTTTTCGGGAGTTGCCAAAGGCTTTCGACGCGTTCTCCGACCAAATTCACTTCGAGAAGAAGGGCGAGGAGCCGATGGCAGCGTTTTGCACGGCGATGGAGGTGGCGAAGCGCAATCTAGAGGAAGCGGACCCGGACACGAAGATAAGCGCCAACGAGCTAGGGTACCACGCGCTGAAGAGGAGCGGACTGGACAGAGACGAGCGCAACTTAGTGATAGCACGAGCGGAGCAGACCTTCAACTTCCAGAAGATTAACACGACGCTGAAGAACCTCTTCCCACGCGGCGGAGGTCGGCGCCGGGATCGGCAGGGATTGCGCGCGAGCTGGCGCTGGGCGAACTACAACGACGGCGAGCGCGACCCTGAGGAGGACCCGCACGTCGAGAACGACGGGTACTGGGTCCAGGACGACGACGGGCACTGGCACGAGTGGGACGAAGAGCACGGCGTCTACGCGTCTGCGGAGGACGGCGACGACGGCAAGCACAGCAGCGGCCTGTTCTACATCGAGGACGACGCCGACATCTACCTCGCGGGCGAGGACGACGCGTACCAGCAGGCCCTCGTCACGCTGCGCGAGAGCAGGCTCAAGATGAACAAGATCAGGGCTGCTCGAGGCTTCTTCAAAGGACGAATCGAAGGGGTAGTGGACGAGAGCGCGGCGGCCGGTGGCAAGGCGGCTGGGAAAGGCGGCAAAGGTGGCAGGGGCAAGGACGGCGGCAAAGGCAAGTCCAAGGACAAGAGGTGCGCCAACTGCGGCAGGATGGACCACGCTACACCGGACTGCCCGACGCCACGACCTCCGAGGCCGACAAGCAAAGGCTCCAAGGGCCGCGGCAAGACCTCTAAGGCGCAGTCTCGTCCACGACGGCTGGGTTTCTGGGCGATGACCACGCCGGCGTGCGTCATGCCGGACATGTTCAACCAGAAAGACGCCCAGATCCAGGAGCTCGCGACGGAGAAGCTCCAGGAGCCAGACGAGCACGACATCATGATGATCAAGGCGGAGAGCGACCGATCCTACCGGACGTGCCAGAGGTGGACGTGATGATCTCGAGTGCGATCGCGCCGGCTACCCTGGTGGACAGCGGCGCCTCCGCGGAGGTGGCAGGGCGCGGCTGGCTGGAGAAGATCGCGGCGGAGCTCGCGAAGTACGGCCTGAGGCCCATCATCGTCGAGGCGAGCCAGAAGTTCAAGGGACTTGGCGGGACACGACGCGAGGCGAAGCAAAAGTGGATCATCCCGATCGGCATCGGCAAGAAGCACGTCCTGCAGGAGTACTTCGAGATTCCTGGCGACATGATCGGCTTGAAGAGCAAGATGAACCTGGCGGACTG